TAAATAAAATATGAACATCTTTTTCTTATGTAAGATTGAAGAACTGAGAGAACTAAAACGTTACACAATATAATGTCATTTGAAGACCACTAAAATATGTCACTAAGTAGAAAAGTATTTCCATTATCTCTAGAGCTAAATTTCAAGCACTAGTAATTACAACAAGTCACAATGTTAATAGTTGTTACAGAGTGAAGCAGATCAATTTGATTCAGGTCATCTTAACTAAATTTATTATAATACATGTTAAACACATATTTGAGAAGACAGTAGTACAAAATAACATGTAAATCAAAAAAGTGTATAGTTTGAACTAAACATATTTACAGTCTCTTCTTTCTGGCTTATTAGAAAACAGCATTTTCATCCAGTTAGCTGCTAGTGCCTGACTTTGGAGATTTATATTTTATTTCACAGTGAGCACAACCTCACCATTTAGCAGCACAACAGTCACTCATTTCTGCACATATGTTACAAGTCCATTATCTCAAAAAGTGTAAATATGCGTTAAAGTACACAAGCACCACTATAGGTTTTGATGCCATCTTGCCTGAACTAGAGAACACGAAAAAGTATGCACCACTGTTGAGCTTACAGCCTTTGATACTCAACACTAGCCCACAAACACCAGAATCCTGTTGGTCATCTATGCATGCATTAAGTTAAATTGCATAACTTACCTTACTAGGGCACACTGTCACTGAAGCATTTAAGAAAAGCAATCATAGATACACACACACACACACACACACACACAGAGCACTCAATTTAGTTTAATTTTCCATATTAATTTATGTCCGTTAATGTTTTCCTTAGAAGGCTTCTCTCTTGTCCACCACTATCTTCTTTTTAAATGTGTCTTAGTCCTATTCAGAGCTGCTGCCACTGACAGAGAGCAAAGAGTCATTGACAAGGCTTCTTAAACTGTCATTTAGGAGATGATGTGGCAGCTCCTCATGGACGGTTCTGTGGCTCCTGTCTAGAGATGAGGAAGTTAATAGCAAAGGGATATGTTAACCCTTCTGAATATTAGTGAGCTCAACGTCTATCTGAAAAATAACTTACTTATAGTTGATTAACTGTTAAATCTTCCTGCTACATTTTCTTTTTCTTATGTAAGATTGAAGAACTGAGAGAACTAAAACGTTACACAATATAATGTCATTTGAAGACCACTAAAATATGTCACTAAGTAGAAAAGTATTTCCATTATCTCTAGAGCTAAATTTCAAGCACTAGTAATTACAACAAGTCACAATGTTAATAGTTGTTACAGAGTGAAGCAGATCAATTTGATTCAGGTCATCTTAACTAAATTTATTATAATACATGTTAAACACATATTTGAGAAGACAGTAGTACAAAATAACATGTAAATCAAAAAAGTGTATAGTTTGAACTAAACATATTTACAGTCTCTTCTTTCTGGCTTATTAGAAAACAGCATTTTCATCCAGTTAGCTGCTAGTGCCTGACTTTGGAGATTTATATTTTATTTCACAGTGAGCACAACCTCACCATTTAGCAGCACAACAGTCACTCATTTCTGCACATATGTTACAAGTCCATTATCTCAAAAAGTGTAAATATGCGTTAAAGTACACAAGCACCACTATAGGTTTTGATGCCATCTTGCCTGAACTAGAGAACACGAAAAAGTATGCACCACTGTTGAGCTTACAGCCTTTGATACTCAACACTAGCCCACAAACACCAGAATCCTGTTGGTCATCTATGCATGCATTAAGTTAAATTGCATAACTTACCTTACTAGGGCACACTGCCACTGAAGCACCTGACACTTTATAAGGTGTGTACCCAGTTATGTAACAGGCATGACACACACTGCTGTAGAGTTTAAATGCCTCTTACTAAAATAAGTCAGGATTATAAACCAGATTCAGAAAACTTGAAATAAATTTATTCCCCGAAAATAAGACAGTGTCTCACATTAATTTTTGCTCCAAAAAACACGTGTGTGTTTAGTCGTTTAGTCGTGTCTGACTCTTCGTGACCCCATGGACCAGAGCACGCCAGGCCCTCCTGTCTTCTACTGCCTCCCGGAGTTGTGTCAGGTTCATGTTGGTTTTCGGGGAATGTTTTATTCTTTTTCATGTACAACAATCTATGTTTATTCAAATATAGTCATGCCATCTTCTTCTGGTTGCTGCACAATGGTGGAGGGCGGGCTTTCATTTAACTAGGGCTTATTTTGGGGGTACGGCTTATATTACGAGCATCCTGAAAAATCATACTAGGGCTTATTTTCAGGTTAGGAAACAGGGTAATTATTGGTGCTTTTATTTAAGGAACATCTAGAGGCTGCTAACATGGTGATTTTGCTGGTGATTTAAAATTTGCATTTGACTTGTTTTTAACTAGGTGATTCTTGATTTATGATTTCATAAAACTGTTGCATCCCACAAACACCAGAATCCTGTTGGTCATCTATGCACGCATTAAGTTAAATTGCATAACTTACCTTACTAGGGCACACTGTCACTGAAGCATTTAAGAAAAGCAATCATAGATACACACACACACACACACACACACACAGAGCACTCAATTTAGTTTAATTTTCCATATTAATTTATGTCCGTTAATGTTTTCCTTAGAAGGCTTCTCTCTTGTCCACCACTATCTTCTTTTTAAATGTGTCTTAGTCCTATTCAGAGCTGCTGCCACTGACAGAGAGCAAAGAGTCATTGACAAGGCTTCTTAAACTGTCATTTAGGAGATGATGTGGCAGCTCCTCATGGACGGTTCTGTGGCTCCTGTCTAGAGATGAGGAAGTTAATAGCAAAGGGATATGTTAACCCTTCTGAATATTAGTGAGCTCAACGTCTATCTGAAAAATAACTTACTTATAGTTGATTAACTGTTAAATCTTCCTGCTACATTTTCCACTTCTGCTTCTATCCTCCGAGTACAACTCCTGAAGTATAACTCTGGAAGCAGGAATATAATGCAGAAGTTTGCATTGCACTTTTTAAGTGGTGCAGAGAGGTGAGAAGTGAATAAAGGGGGAAGTGATTCGCAAAGGGTAGGGTGGGGGCTCAAGATGCTGGGAATGGGTGGGGCTGCCATTTTTTCCAGTGCAGCTTTTATGGGGACAGCTTGTGTGAGGGGGCAATTGCCCTTAATTACTGGACCTAGCACTTAAAGGGAAAAAAAAAACATATCATAAACCTAAGCAAAGCAAGCAAGAATGTAATCAGGCACTGTTAAGATCAGATGAATAAATAAAAGTGTAAGACTATATGAAGTCACCGGAAAAACTAAATACAAACTCAAAAATCCAAAATCATAAAGATACAAAGTATGCAATCTTTTGAACTATACAGAACTCTTCAGATGAGTTTGCATCTCTTTATCTCTTCAGATGAAATGCGGTTATGCTATTCAACACGCAAGAATATGTTATAGTAATACAGAAGTCCCCAACCTTGTTGGGGCCGCGGACCAGCTGGGAGGAGCGAGCTCCATGTGTGGAGGGGCGGAGGCACTCCCGTGCAAGCCTGATGGGTGTGTCACATGAGTAGGGGCGTGGCACTCCCATGCGAGTACAACACGCCCCCGTGCAAGCGTGACATGCCCCTCGTGCAAGCGTGACACACCCCTTGTGTGAATGTGGCACGCCCACCATGCGAGCATGAGGCGGGCGGAGAGCTGTATGCACGGCTCAATTCCAGCAAGCTCATGGACCAGCACCGGGCCGTGGACTGGGGGTTGACAACCCCTGTAGTAATGTACTAAATGTGACTAAGCTCATTTTTAGAAGTGGCTACATTTTTAGCACAAATGTACATAGCAGTTTGCAACATATTTATTCCCTACTGTTTTCATCTTCTCAGACTTCCTTTACTGGAGGCTAGATAGCATTCACTACTGCTGGAAACTTTTTTCATAGGAATGAAGGGTTTTGTTCACATTGTTTTAAATAAGTAGAATTTTTTTTTTAAAAAACCTGTTCTTAATAATAAATAGGAAAAGGGTTTGTGTTACCTTGAAATACCTCCCCCTGTTACTTCACGCAAGAGACGGCAATGCAGAGGAACAAATTCCAGCAATTTGTTGTACATGGTCTGGAGGCCATTAGGATGAGACTGAACGTACTGCTCTACAATCACCTGCCAAAGAACGCTTACCATCAGATTCAAAAACCATGAACAAAAGAGTTGAAGTGTTCAATAAAAACCCTAAAAACCAAAACCCAACCCAAAGGTACTCTATTCAAATTGCTGAAAATATCTTTTCTTTAAACTGGTGGCTTAAGCCAGTTTTCAATTTTAATGTGCAATTTTAAATGCACAGATACCACACTTTAAGAAGGATGCCAACAAAATGGAAAAAATTCAGAGGAGAGCAACAAGGATTATGAGAGGACCAGAATCCATGCCGTATGAGGAAAGACTGAAAGAAGTAGGCATGCCCAGCATTGAAAAAAGACTGAGGGGAGATACAATAGCGTTTTTCAAATAGCTGCAAGGTTAGTGGGAGAGGGGAAGGATCTGTTCTCTATCATCCCAGCGTGCAGGACAATGGGCTCAAGTTACAGGGAGCCAGATTCCAGTTGACTATCGGGAAAAACCTCCTAACTGTTAGAGCAGTATGACCATGAAACCAATTCCCTCGGGAGGTGGTGAGCGTTTCAATGCTGGAGGCATTCAAGAGAAAGTTACACAACCACCTGGCAGATATATTTTGACTTGGATTCAAGCATTGAGCAAGGGATTGAACTCGATGGCCCTTTCAGCTCCGTGGTTCCATGTGCAATCCAAAGCCTCTTCAAGTTGATATGTATCAAGGCCAGCAGCAAATATCAAGTGAACTGCTTCTTCTACTCTACCTTTACTGTGATTTATTTGCGTAATGCCAGAGACAACACTGGAGAGATGGATATAGAAACATAATATATTCTCCCATAACACATTTAACTCCTTATTTCACTCACCTCATCTACATATGGTTTCACAAGCACTTCACCGACCAAAGCCTCAGCATCCCGTGTCTTATCTATGGTCGCATAGGTCCGCAAGCAATGTCGTATTATGTCTATGTTGGATGTCTGAAGACCTTCCAGAAGCAGCCCTTCCAGGGAATGCTGCAACATTGCTGTGATTCCTACTATACGCTGTGGTTTGGGGAGGAGAAAGTAATTGTGAGCTGAAATGGAACAATGGAGATCCACTCATTTTATTTTGCACTTTTAGAGCAATGTAACAATACCCTCCAGAACCACCATATTAGATTATCTTCTGTGCTAAAGATGATCAGAGATCCAAACTATTTTTACTGTCTTTGAAGACTAGACCATCATTGTCTAGCTCTACAAAATGAGATTCTTGGTAAACTATGTTTCTTATGTATATGCTACCTTTAAATGTTTATTCAGAGTTATTCTTATATATAATAACAACAGCAAAAACAAGGAATACTTTAAAGGTGGTTGATCAATTGCACTTAGGACAAAACAGATACATTTGTTTCTGTTCATAATGGCAAACAGAAATGAGCATGAAAAGTAACAGTGTAAAAACAAATAACTTATGGAAAGAAGGAGACATCTTAAAATATTGTGCCCAGTTCTGGATACCGCACTTTAAGAACAAAAACAAATGGAAGCACGTTGAGAGGAAGGCAGTGCAGAGAGGCAGAAATTTAAAAAATCATGCCCATTTTATTTTAAAATGCTATATAGCTACCCATCAGTATAAAATAGAAGTGAATTAATAATACCTAAACTGTGAAACAGTGAAATCAGAACTATAAAAGTGTAGCATTTATTTAAAATGCAGGCCTCTTTAGGTAGATGTAAAAAAAAAAAATCTTCATCTTGTGCTGAAAGACCACAAGGAAGGCACCAGAAAAAACATACACATCTGGGCACATGATTTCACAGTTGAGATATTACTACCAACAAAACTCCCTCATTAGCAGCCAGTAACTGAACGGTACCTGGTGGAGTCACAGAAAAGCCTCCAAAGGCGATTGTAAGATTGAGGTGGCCATCTTTCAAGTAACCTCACTTCCAGTTCCAGGTACCAATCTTGGAACAGTTGCAACAATTTGAACTAACAACAGTCTCAGGAGTTAATTACTGCAGCAATCTAAACATGAGTACACCTGAGCCTAGGTATATGTGGTGACGTTCACTGAGATATCAGCCAAAACTGATTTTTTTAAAAAGCTGATAATCAGGGAGGCTACTTGGGACTGAAGATGATGGATTCCAAGAATTCCCAGACTGCAAATGTGATCTTTGGAGAGAAGTATAACCCTTTCCAGAGTTTAGCACCATTCATGCCAATGTAAATTCATTCAGATGGCCGTATTCAAACCAGTTTCAATAAACTGATTTATCATATGATCCACAGCAAACAAGAAAACTGGAGCTTCAAAGCACCCCGTCCCCCACTGAAATATACTCACTGGCTTCAGCTTGTCTAGAAGTGGCATTCCTTTGCTTTGTACTGCATGAAACTGTAATTGGTTGAATTCTGTAGCAATTCTTTCTAAAATCTGCCCAGTCAGAAGTGGACTAGCAAAGGAATTGGCACACAAAGGACAACAGTTTAATCCATAATGGCAATAAATATTTCTTCTCCCTACACACATTCTCGTTCTCACTCTCTCACAGATCTCCTCCCTTATGAATCTCAAAAAAGTTTGTAACATTTGTCCCCTTTCTCAATACTGTTTTCACATTTCAGCAAGATTAAGAAACAAGTCTCATGACAGGGATAGCCGGAAGGAGCAGCCTTGGGTCTTCAAGAATACAATTATTTAAGCAGGGAACAAGAACCTTGTTCAAGAGCCTCTCCCCATAACATCACCTTTCTTTCACTTATGTAAAAAAGGCAGGCATTTTTCACGTCCCTCAATTTTTTTTTTCACCAAACGAAATAAAATGGATTCACGTGCAGTACTTTATTTTAATGTTTATTTATTTTATTAT